TGTGTGTGTGTGTGTGTGTGAGTGTAAGTGGATCGGGTGCGGATCGCAAGAGCAGAGAGGAAGCGGGCGATTGATTGATTGATTGATTAATTCGAATTGAATGCGCCCCGTGCGAGGCGGTGCGAGAGAGAGAGAGAGAAGGCGCGGTTGGGAAGCGACTTTGGACGCAATTTACGCCGCTCCCACGCCGCCCTCTCTTCTCTCCGCCCCACTTCTCCGCCTTTTCTTTTTCTTTCTTTCGTGCGATTCCATCAAAGCGCTCTGCTGCTGCTGCCGCTGCTGCCGCTGCTGCTCTCGAAAGGCCGCCCGCCGAGCCGCACCGAAGCGGGCATTATTGCGGACCGGCCTTTCGGTCTCTCTCTCTCTCCATCTCCTACTCTCGACTCCACCATCTGGACCAAGTCCCATCGGCTGCCGCTTTTGCTTGCTCGTTTCCGTACACCAAATCATCCGCACCTGGTTGTCCTGAAATACGCACGCGCGCATCGCCATGCTTCAACCTTAACCTTGGCTCAGCCTCTCCAACTTGCGCAACGCTTCTGCACCATGCAGCCCATTCAGCCGACCGCTGCACCTCCCCAATGGGCTCAGATCAGCTTCGACGACGGCTTCGACCTCAACCTCGATGCAACTTCCTCCTTGGCTGGTCCCGCTTCCACTGCACCATCAATCCAGTCCCCGGCCATCCCAGATCGTTCCATCCCAGATGCACCACAAAACCGCTTCTCCGCAAGTCCGGCTTCGTCCAACAAGGCGCTTCCCCAGCTGCCATCAACGGCCACCGCCATGCCCGCTTCGGTTGGTGTGCCGAGCACGGTACATGCGCGCCTGCCCTCGGCACACTCCCAGGATGCAGCAACAGCAACAACTCCAAAGCCTCCAGGCACCCCGCAGGCGCACCTCCATCCTTCCCCCATCGTCACCGCTGCCACGCCCGAACAGCCCACCAACCGCAACTTTGACGCCATCCAACCCCCACCGCGTCCCGTCTCCTCCGCCGACGCCTACATGCATCCCATCGAAACCCTCCAGTCCGACACCAACAGCCGCCCAGGCACCGCAATGAGCAACCTCAGCTCCGCCAACGGCATCAACCCACCAACCACCAATCGCAGCAGCTTCGGCACCGCCACCACCTCCACCACCACCAACGCACCCTTCAACCAGCCAAAACGCGCCTCTGTGCTCTCCTTCCAGACCGCAAACAGCGCAGGTTTCACAAGTGCAGACGAAGCAAAGAGCTCCGACCGCGAACACCTCGCAGACCAAACCTTGGTCGCCGCACCCGCCACTTCCTCGGCTCTGCCCATCGACGCCGCCCAACCCATCCGTCCATGGCTCGACCGCAACACCTCCGGCTACGGTTCGTCGCCAGACGAGCGCTCCTTCCCAGGCGGCCTCCCCGGCTCCTTTTGGGACGAACCCGTCGCACGTCCACCGCACACCACAGCAGTCCTGCCAGAACAGCCAGCGCCACAGCCCTTTCTCGCCGTCTGTCCCCCCGCGCCCCCCAATCACAACCCAGCAGCGGCTGCACCGGCCCATGCCGACGATACATCGAGTACACAGATCGGCCCGGCGGATGCAAGCCTCGCACCCATCAACACGCACGGCCTGGCTCCATCCTCGCCTAACGCTCCTCTGTCGTCCACCACCATCGCCGCCCCATCCGACGAAACCACCCAGGCCGCACGCCAGTCCCCCGACGTCGCCAAGGCGTCTGTCAGAGAACTCGAGCCCATCTCCGATCTCGACGCGCCACCGCCGCCTGCCAAGGACGCCCGTATCGACGACAACGCAAGCCCCGCCCCCGCCGACAACCTCATCCCACCGCCCTTGCCTACCGACGCAGCAGCCAACGCTCAACCCGCCATCAACCTGCCCGCCCTCCAGCGACCCGTCTCCGACTATCGCAAAAAGCCACTCGCACACATCTCGCCCGCTCAGAAAGCTGCCGGTCTCGCACACCTTCAGTCGCAGGCAAAGGCGCCCACCAAGCAGCCGAGCCGCGACATGCCCTCCAACGCACCTCCCACCGCTCCCCCCACGGAAGCACCGCCCATCGTCATGATGGAGCGCGCACGACGCAAGTCGACCGCCAGCCTCACCGCCAACGTCGCGCTTGCACAGGCCGCGGCCGGCGTGCCCAACCTCGCCCAAGATGGCCTCGCCGACACGCCCGACACGCCGAGTGCAGAGAGCGCGTCTGCGGAATCCAGCGCGCCTCCCGACGGCGAGGTCGAGGCACGCGCAGAGTGGGAGCGTCGCAGAATCAAGCGCAAAAACGGCAACAAGAACAAAGACTCGCAAACCCAAAACAAAGGCCGCTCAGATACCTTCAAGAGCCAGCTCCGGCCGCTCCAGCTCGTGCCCGCCGACAACGTGACTGCCTTCTCCGACCGCAACGCCGCCACCGCCGATCGACACAGCATCGCAGTCGCCAACCGCACCGCCAACGCCATCGCTCCGGCTACGTCCGATGCGCCCGCACCAGCAGCTGCGGCCTCGGCACAGACCACCTACAGCACCCAGCAGCTCCAGAGGCTCCAGGCACGCGAGCAGAGGAGGAGCGTCGGTGCCTTTAGCGCCGCCATGGCCGCTGCCAACGTCGTTTCCAGCGGAAGCAACGGGCCCTATCCCGTCTTTGCTTCGCCCAACTCGGGCCCACAGAAGGTCGGCGCGCGACAGTATCCCGGTCTCATGGCACAGCGCAGCCTCGTGCCGCCGTTTGAGCTGCAGCATCGTCCCGACGGCCTCCCCTCGGGCATGATCGGCCCGGACGGCGTGCGAAGGAGCATCAACGACCCCGAGGTGTGTCTCGAGTGCATGATGCGCGACGAAGACATGATCGACATCCGCGTCGTCGGCGACGGCGTCTGGGAACGCGAGAGCGACAAGGACTTCCAAGAAGCCGTCAGGCAGGAGGCCGAAGACGCCGCCAGCGGGCCAGCCTCGCACGGCATGAGCGGCAGCAGCGGACACGCAGACAGCCTCACCAGCCACCGCGACTCGCGCCAGTCGCGCAAAGCGCGCAAGAGGATCGGCAAGGGCGAGCCGCTCACCGTGGAGCGCCTCAAGCTCCACACCCAGATGAACCCGCCCGCCTCATCGTTCCGATGGCGTACGCTGCAGACCTTCCTGGCGGTACAGGCCAAGTACATCGCCATGGAGCAGCAGAGGATGCGCCTCGAGGTCGACAAGAGGGCGCGCCACAACAACGACAGCGTCAGCAGCCGTGGCAGCTTTGTCGCCGACTCACCCGTGGCCGCGGGCGTGCTCTCTTCGCCCTTTGCGCCTGCGCGCGACGCCTCGTCACCTCAACGCCAGTCCATCCTCTCCACCTCGGTCGACGACAGCACTCTCACGCCGCTGCAGAAGCAGGAGAAGGAGCGCGACGTCGCCGCGGCGCAGGCGGCGCGCAAGAAGATGACCGTCGGCACGACTCCGCCAATGGCCCCGACGCCGCCGCTGGGCATGCCGGCCTACTCTGTGACGCCTCTGCAGACGCGCGCAGCTCCCCAGTCCATCCCTGCCCGCGTCGGCTCGGATCCGGACGGTGTGCTGGGCGGCGCATCACCCGTGGGCGGTGTGAGCATGACGCCCAGCAGCAGTCGTCGTGTGCCGTTTGCCTCGGCACCCACTGCGCGCGCGGCGAGCGCGCAGGATCTTCGGTCCATGGCTGACGGGCAACGATCGGCAGGATATCCGGCCAGCCCGGACAGTTTGATGCCTCCGTCGAGGTCGGTCATGGGCACGTCGCCCACGGGCACGCCGTCGCGGCTGGCGGCGCGCTCGGGAGCGTCGCAGCTGTCGCTCATGCACAGCGGGTCGATGATCGACATGCACGTCGCGCAAGAAGACCGCGCCGAGCATCGGATCAAGCAAAACGGCTTTTTGCCAGGCACGCCGCTGGCGGTGGAATCGCCCGCCGCCATGAACCGCTCCTACTACGGCTTTCCCGGCGACGGCGACTCGTCGCTGCCGGATCCGGCGGCGTTTGAGCGGTCGCGCATGGTGTCGGGCGACGGCTACGTCAACCCCATGCAGGCTGGACCGCGCGGATTGGATGCGGACCATGACGACAACAAGCGCAAGAAGAAGGGCCTCCGTGGGCTGTTCTCCAAGCTGACCGGCGGCAGTGCGGCGGGTCGCGAGAATTCGACTGGCGGTATGGGGGATGGCAGCATCAACGGTAGTGTTGCGAGTCGCAATGCGAGCCGACGCTCGCAGGCCTCGGACAGCTCCAAGCCGCGCAAGTTTTCGTTTAGCGCCGAGCGTTCGCTGGATACATCGGGCGCTGCGGCGAGTCCGAACGGTATGCTCAGCCGAGCACACAGATCGACCTCGACGTTCTTCCGCAACGGCGCCGAGCCCGATGTGGAAGCTGCCAAGCCGCGACAGCCGAGCGCGGGCAACTCGAACACGCCCTTCCAGAATCCACCGGGCATGACGAGCCAGGGCAGTCTGGACCTCGGACCGTTCCAGCCGGCTTCGCCGCAGGCCAATGCGTTTGGTGCGGCCAACGGCAGTGCGGCGAGGATGCGCAAGGCGTCGAACCCGCTCATGCAAAAGTACCTCAGCTCGCCCTCGCCCCAGACGCAGGCTTCGCCGGTGCCGAGCTCGGTGCCGACGTCGCCGGTAGAAAGGGTTGCTGTGCATCCGAGCCAACGCGATGCGAGGGTGTCGGGTCTGCAGCCCATTCCGGACGGCGAGCAGGTGGGAGACGAGTACGAGCCACGCCAGTCGGTGCGCTCGAGCGGCAGTGCGAGTGTGCGCAAGGAGCTGCCCGCCATGCCGACGCTCGGAGGCCGGCCGAGCATGGACAGTGGCGGGCCCCAGCGGCCGCCGCGCAATCCGCGCCGGCCCGAGGGTGCGCTCAACTCGCCGAGCCTCGTGGATCTCAGCAACAATGGCGGCGGAGTGGGGCAGGTGCGACGCGAGTTCCCGCAGCCGAGCCGGTACGAGTCCGGTTCGTATGCGAGCGTGGCGTCGCGCGAGAGCGAGACGAAACGGTCGCGCTTCCGACTGCCGTTTGGGCGCAAGAAGCGCGAGTCGACGCTGGGCGAGCCTAAGCCATCGATTGTGGTTGGCGGTGCGGAAGAGGACGGGGTGCGGGGTGGGTTGTTCCCCGCGCTTCGCACACGCAAGAGCTACGGCGGCCTAGGCGTTCCCAAAGCGAGCTTTAGCACCGAGAGACAGCGCGTGTTATCGTCGCCCTCGCACGATATGGCAACGTTGCCGCCACGCAGTCAGAGTGCGTTTGGCATGGCGCCCACGCAGCGCTTCATGTCGATGGACTTGCCGCGTCGCTCGATGAACGTCGGTCGTGCCGACCATCGACTGAGCACAGTCGGGTACGAGGAGGAGGATGAGGATGACGAGATGGAGCGCGAGCCCGGATACGAGGCCGAGTTCAACCGGTACGCGCAGGAGGCGGCGGAGGAGAGGTATGTCAAGCCGAGGGAGGCCAGTGCGGGCGGCCAGAGCTTTGGCAGGAAGAGCCTCAACTTGCTGCGTGACCTGCGCATGCCGCTCGGTAAGACAAGGTGATCTCGGAGCGTACGGTCAATCGACATGGGCGTGCGCAAGCCATTATTTTATCTTTCTGCGAGAACAGGTCTGGATCGATGCCGGTGTCACTGCGATCATTGGTGCCATGAGGGGCTTTCATCCTATGAGCGCTTTCATCGTATGAGCGGAGGGGGGATGGAGGTGGGGGGGTTGTCACGTGACGATAAACGCGTGTCGCCTTGCCCCGCGGTGGAGGCGGAATTTCTTTACTGCGGGGGTTGAGGAGGCAAGTCGCGTGGGTGGATTTGGGGTGTTGATTTGTCTCCTTGTGCACGGGATGGTGGGCGAAGGTTGACGCGAGACCACTTGCATCGTGGGCTTTGCTTAGGCCTTGTACGAGCCGGAGAAGCGGATAGGAACGGCAGCAGGATTCTCGACACTACCACCCGCCATCTGCCCAACACTGTGAGGGTTACGACCACCCAGCTACGTCCGTGCTTTGTGCGACCCTCTACACGGTGCAGCGACGACCCGGAACACTCTCGTCGACCACGCACAGCTTGGACCCCAGAGCTGGCATCCGCTCCACTGCAGCACGCACTCATCGTACAGCAAAGCTCTGCAACGCTGCCCATCCCAGCACAACGCACGATCTGCACAAAGGTACCCGCTGTACGTTGGCCATCCACGATCGAACAAACAGCTCGTATAATCGTGCAGACGACATCCAGGACCAAGATCAACTTGCGAGTCAGCATATCGCCCACCAAGACAGCCGCAGATTGCACCGTCCAGACATGGCGCCCAAGGCGCTGGCGAGCGATGCCAAGATCGTTGTGGCCTCGACGGACGAGCTGCAGGCGCACTTTGACGAGCTGCACGCCGATCTGCACCTGGCCGAGACGGAGCATACGTGGCACAAGATCGAGCAGTCGCTGCTGTACATCCAAGCCATCACGCGCGGTGGCGCCACCAAATTCGCCGACTTTGTTCCACTCATCAAAGACGCAGCGGCACCGATCAACGGAGCGCTGCTGAGCGAGCGTACGAAGCTGTCCGGCACGGCGGCGGATGTGCTCAACTCGATCGCACCGCGACTTGCAGAGCGGTTCGAACCGCTGGTGGCCGTGTTTGTTCCGACGTTGCTGCAGATCTGCGCGCGCACCAACAAGGTGGCGGTCAAGAGGGCGGAAAAGTCGCTCCACTTCATCGTCAAGCACTGCAGACCCGTGGCGGTGGTGCCGCTGCTGCGCGAGGCGCTCAGGGATAAAGGCTCGGGTCTGCGCGCGGTCGCTGCAGGAACGTTGGTGGCGGTGCTAGAGTGTACAGACAGGGATAGGCTGGGTAGGAGGGTGGCGGATGTAGAGGCGGCGATAAGAAGCGGTGCGACAGATTCGAATGCAGAGGTGAGGCAGATCAGCAAGAGGCTCTTCGAGCACTATGTCGCCCTGTGGCCGGAAAAGGTCGAGGCGTTCACAAAGCCAATGACCCCTACGATTCGAAGGTACCTCGCACTGCCAAAGACAGGTGCACTGGTCGTGGACGTCCCAACACCACAACTCAAGGTGCAGGAAGCCGTAAGGGTAGCACAACCACCACCACCACCACCACCGACGACGACGCAGCCAACATCGCAGTACAACTTTTTCCCGGACCTCCATCGTGCTCCTGCCGCCTCGACCTCGCGAGGATTCAGCGTGAACGATGCGACGTATGCCAAACGCGGGCTGTTTGCGGATCAGATTGCGGCAGCACGTAATGCGCGATTGGCCCGCATGCCCTCGTTCAACTTTGACGACAGGCTGGTCGACGCCGCGGCCACGACGGCCATCAAGCGGCAGCCGAGCTTGGAGCAGCGGCGGGGCGACATCAACTCGAGCACGCCTGGATTCGCGACGACGGGCGCGCACGGTAAGAGTGTGCTGCTCGCAGCGTACAAGCAGGCGTTTGTCGACCAGCACTCTGCTTCATCGCGGGACAAGTCGCGCGACAGGGAGCGCAAGCACGCCGACCGGAAGCGCGACAAGACAGTCGTGCGGTTCGAGCGCGACACGCTCGATGCCCCACACCCGGCAGAGGATGAGATGCGCAGGTCCAAGTCCGCGCCGCTTATCCCCGCCGCCGAGGCGGAAGTGATTCATGATCCGTCGACGCCCACGGAGAGTGGAGAGGATCGGCCGATTACGCCGCCGCAGCGGGTGGTGCAGACACCCCGTACGGCGGTCAAGGCGAGCAGAGTGCCGGCGCAGCGCGTCGCCGCTTCGGCCGTCAAGGTGTCCGCAGCGAGGGTGGTCGTCCCCACGCCCTCGGCCAAGGTCGCAGCCACCAGGGTGGTCGAGGCGGCGTCGGTCGAGGCGAGTCCTGTGCCCAAGGCGAGGCAGGCAAAGACGCCAGAGCAAGCCATCCAGCCCGCTGCAGCCAAGCCCAGCGACGATAAGGACCCCAAGGCACCGGTCAAGAAGGCCGTTCCGGTGCCAAGCACGACCCCTCGCGAGGCGATCAAAGCTTCAAAGTCGACCGAGATGGCGAAAATCGCCTCCAAACCTGTCGCTCGTCCAGCAGTCAAGAAGGCGGTACCAACCAAGCCGGCTGCACCAGCCAAGCCCACCACCACCACTGCACCCGCAAAGACCGTTCGACCGGTTGCTGTGAAACCTCCAGCCCCCGCCCCGAGCAGTGCTGCGATGGCACGCGCCAAGCTGGCAGCCGCCAACCGGCTCGCCTCCACCACCACCGCGCCGAAAAAGCCCGAGGGTGGTGGGGTTCGGATATCGACAGCAACAGCATCTACCGCCTCGACGCGCAACAAGATCGTCCCCTCTGCGGCCGTGAAAAAGTTCACCCCCAAGGCCACTCCAGCGGTAGGCGTGGGGGTGAGGCGCGCAAAGAGCTCGATTGCCGAGTCGATCGCGGCCAAGAGCAAGATCGTGGGTGCACAGCAAAAGGTGAGCGACAAGACGGTGGCGGTGCGAAAGGCGAGGGTCAGCGCGGCGCTCAAGATGCAGAGAAGAGCGTCCGCCGTTGCGGCCACTAAGGTATCAACCGCGACCTCCAACGCAGCATCCACCGCTGCACCCACCCCAGCATCGAAGAGGGAGGAAGCAGGGCAGGAGGAGAAGAAGGAGAAGAAGATTGTGGAGGAGAAGGCGGTGGTGGGTACACCGATGCAGTCGCCCATCAAGACGGCTGCACCGGGTGGCAGCACGCGCACTCCACTCGGCGCCAAGGATCCCAACGTCCCCTCGACTCGTTCCACGCCGCTCAAATCGCCGCTGCGACCGACTCCGCGCTCCGTCACCGCCCTTCGTGTGCTCGACGTCAGCGTTGTCGACAGTAGAAGCGAGCGACCAACGCCGCTCGTAGCCGCACCTCGTGTGCTCGACGTCGAGGTCTCCGACAGCGAAAGCGACGACACTCGCTCGACTCGACCCACGCTCGAATCTCCGTTGCGGTCGACCCCCCTACGCTCAAGCGCACCTCGCATGCTCGACGTCAATCTCTCTGACAGCGAAAGCGAAAGCGAGAGCGGTGGGGAGGAGGTGGTTCAGCTCACGTTGGGCTCGAAACAGCTCGTGCTCGGTCCGGACTCGGCGAGCAGCGATGCCTCGTTTGGCGCAAGCCCAGATGACGAGACTGTAGTGCTCGAGGCCGTAGCCGCCTTGTAATAGTGTATACCCCTGCTTGCAATCATTACCGACTGCGACTTTGATCCGAGCTCTGTCTGACTTTCCCCTGCATTCACAGGCCAGGATTGACAGCCAAGTGGTTCCAACCAACCTGGCTCATAACGTGGGGGCAACGGGGGGCTTGTCCACCGGCTCATGGCAAAGCTGTCCAAGATGGCGAGCTGGGATCGGGAATGAAAACCGCGCCGATTGAGCGATTGAGCGATCTGGGAAGAAGGCGCGCTGCTCCACTTTTCCCGGCGCATCGCGACGAGAAAAAGCTTAGCTGAAAGGGCGGAGGTGGTAGCGTCTGGACCACCATCTGCTCTCAAACGACACATCCATGCAGCGTGGCTGAAGCATCGCATCTCCCGTTCACACCGCCGCCCCCAGAATGTGGTCTTCGCCCGCTGCGGCGCTAGGCATCCGCGCATGCTCGGGCTCTGCCGGCTTGCGCACCGCCATGGCAGGCACACGGTCAATAGCATCAAGGCCGCTGCTGTCGGCGTGTCCATCGGTGCTCGTAGCTGCCAGACCGGCAACGCTGTCCCTACTCGCTGGCAAGGCATCGGCGCCGTCGTACTCGCTCGTCCGCCACTTTTCCGTCTCCTTGGCAAGGCAGGACGACAAGGTGCAACCCCCCAAAACTGCCACAGCGCAGCCAGAACAGTCCTCGAACGACGACAAGCGTCCAGCTACATCCAAGGACGCCACGACGGGATCACTCGCATCGAGGCTCTCGGCACGCATCAGGACGCTGCTGCACGCGCAGCTCGCCAAGTCGGCGCCCAAGTCCAACGACGGCGCCTCGCCCGCACCCACGCAGTTCCCGGACCTCAGGCGGCTCTTTTCGCTCGCCATGCCGCAAAAGCGCAACATCCTCATCGCGCTCGGCCTGCTGCTCATCTCGTCGTCCATCACGCTCACCGTACCCTTTGCCATCGGCCGCCTCATCGACTTTTTCACCTCGGGCCAGAACGCGCTGTTCGGCCTCGGATTCGGCACGGTGGCAGCGCTCATGCTGCTCATCTTTGCCGTCGGCGCCGGCGCCAAGGCGGGCAGCAACATCCTGCTCGAGCTGTCGGGCGTGCGCGTCGTGCAGGGCATCCGCAACCAGGCCTACCGCTCCGCTCTGCGCCAGGACGTCGAGCTTGCAGACAAGGGCAGCGGCGATGTGGTGAGCCGGCTCAGCGTCGATACCAACATTGTCGGCGAGTCGCTCACCTCGGATATTGGAGATGGACTGCGCGCGGGCGCGACGGTGCTGTTTGCGGGAACCGCCATGTTTATGATCTCGTCCAAGCTCACGCTGCTCATGATGGCGGTGGTGCCGCCCGCGGCGATCGGCGCCGTGTTCTACGGAAGGTATCTGCGCGACCTCACGCACAAGACGCAGGACGCTGTGGGAAATATGACGCGGCTCGCCGAGGAGCGGCTGTCGCCCCCGGCATTCCGCACGCTGACCGCGTTCAACACGCAGCGCCAGGAGCTGAGGCGCTTCGACGAGCGCATCGGCGCCATCGTCGAGCTGCAGACCAAAGAGGCGTATGCCTCCGGCCTCTTCTATGCCGGCACGGGCTTCGTGGGCAACTGCGCCATCCTCACGCTGCTCACCTACGGCGGGCATCTGGTGAGCCGCGGCGAGATCTCGGTGGGCGACCTCACCTCGCTGCTCATGTACACGGCGTATCTGGGCGGCGGCATGGTGAGCCTCACCTCGTTCTTTGCGTCGCTCATGAAGGGTCTCGGCGCAGGCGCGAGGGTGTTTGAGCTCATCGATCGACCTGCCACGGTAGAGCTGGGCAAGGGAGAGACGCTGCAGCTCGACACGGCGGTGCGTGGCAAGGTGCGATTTGAGGATGTGCACTTTACCTATCCGTCGCGACCGCAGCAGCCGATCCTGCGCGGCGTCACGCTCGACATTGAGCCGGGGCAGTCGTATGCCTTGGTCGGAGGCTCGGGTGCGGGCAAGTCGTCGGTGCACTCGCTGCTGCTGCGCTTCTACGACCCGACGCAGGGCCGAATCTTGCTTGCAGGCAAGGATCTGGCGTCGTACCGGCCCGAGAGCGTACGCAAGCACTTGGCGTTTGTGCCGCAGGAGCCGATTCTGTTCGACGGAACACTCGAGGACAACATCAAGTACGGTACGGATTCGGCGACGCGCGAAGAGGTGGCCGAGGCAGCGCGCCTGGCTGGCTGCGAGGCGTTCATTGCCGACATGCCTCGTGGACTCGACACGGTGATCGGTGCACGCCAGCTATCGGGTGGACAGCGTCAGCGCATCGCCATTGCGCGCGCGCTGGTTCGCAAGCCGGCGATCCTGCTGCTGGACGAAGCGACGAGTGCGTTGGACTCGGCGTCGGAGCTCATGGTCAACCGTGCCATCGAGAGGATCATCGCCGAGGGCAAGATCACCGTGTGGATCGTCGCGCATCGCCTCTCGACCATCCGCAGCGCCAACAATATCCAGGTGCTCGAAAACGGCCGTATCGTCGAACAGGGCACCTTCCAGCAGCTCGACTCGCCCGGATCCAGGTTTAGAAAGCTCATGGCCGCTCAGCTCGATGCCACCGATCACACCGACCACGCTGCACCGGTGAGTTGCTCGTAATGTCATCAAGTGCGCATGGCAATGGCTGAAGTTTGTCCTTCTTTTTGTAGAATCGTGGTTTGGGACAGACGAGGGGATTGCATACGAGTGCTAGGCGGCCAGACGTGGTTCCGGCGAGTGGAACATGGAGCTTGTTGTCGGCGGTGCAGGGTGGGGCGGAAATCAGCGATGCGCAGTTGGACAAGTTGCACCGACTCGCGGCGCTCATCCCGCCGACCGAGGCTGCGGAGCGGGAGGCGCTAAAGCGGGACTTGGCGGGGATCGTGCACCTGGTGGAGACGATCCACCGGACTCCCGGCAAGGCGGTGGATGCAAGACCACTCGTGGCGCACGATGCCCAGTGGAACACCTCCCTCTCCACCAGCGAGGGGAAGGAGGGTGAGCGGAAGGAGGGTGAGGGAACACAGACGTTGGAGAGGGACCAGCTGCTGGAGCGAGCGGGAGACCGACAGTATGCAGGCTATTTTGTAGTGGATCGCACCTAGACGCAACAAGCCCATCACCACTCGGACGTGTCGACGCAAGGATGGCGTGGGGTGGACAGGTTGAGAGGCGCGAGATGGGTGCGAATTCCGGTGGTGCGGCGACAGCACCCGGGCTTGGCGTGGTCATGCGTGGGCAATCGGAGACTTGCAGACCCGAACAGTCTTGACGCCAAGCGCGACGAGGCCAGAACAATGTTGGTCCGCATGGTGCAACAAAGAGTTGCAGGCGGCGTGGCGTTCATAGCGGCCGCCGGGTCGATGTCCGGTCGGTCCAGCTCGATGCAGCGTTGGAAGCAGCAGACGACGGCGATGGATGTATCTACAAGCCGTGTGAGTGCGAACGCAGACCGGATGTGCGAACAGAGAGGTGGATGCCGGCGTAACCTCCTGATTCGACGCGCGAGCAGCAAACGATGAGGGCCGTTACTTCGTATGCGGGCAATGTGAAGGGCCCACGCCAGCTTCGGCCACTGCCACCAACGGCCGACTTTTGGACGAGGTCTGATTCTTGATTCTAAGGCTTGGTCCGACAAGGTGCGCACACCATCGATCGGTGGCTAGTTCCAAGAGGCGAAAAGTGGCCAAAAAAAAGTTAACTGCAGCACCCAGGATTCCCGCGTGGTCCCCCACCGCA